TGTGTGTGTGTGTGTGTGTGTGTGTGTGTGTGTGTGTGTGGTTATTGGAGTGACTTAAAGCTGGAATTTCCACATAAACAGTTTCATGGTGGCGCCTAACCCCCCAATTTCTGATTTTATGGCAAAGTACCGCCGTCTGAGATATTCGACTGTGTATTCAACAAATATACGAAGATAAGCTCTCCGTTTATTCCATGGCATCTCTTCACACAAACACAAAGAACAAGCTTTAATGACTTTTGAAAGGATGGGTGAAATGTTTATATCTAAAAAAAACACTTTTTTATGGAGCTTGCTACTACCAGTGTCAAAGTGATAGTGTCCATATCTCTAGCGTCGCAATATTTAAATATATAATTCTAAATTTGAGCCAATAAAATCGCCTGCGTCCAGTTGGAGAGGAACACGGAAATTCATCTTTTCTTTCTATCAGAGAGTAACATTTTTCGATTCCATTGCAATTGGGTTGGAAAGTCTCTAACTTAGAAGTAATCAAGGCTTTCTAAAGTTGATAATAACCAAGTAAGTTTACTGCCAACCTGCACGAAACCAGACAAGACAGGCATAAGATGAGTAGATTTTTACTAATAATATGGCGGTAACTTTCTAGCCGCTAAGTTAAAATTATATATTTTTGCCAAGTAGAGAGAAACTTATTAAGAAAATTGGAAAACGCAAACACAGCTTAGCAAAGAAAGGTAACAAAAATGGCAAATATCGATTATTTTATCATCACATCAGACACAATTGATAAGGAATAAATTTTTATTATATTCAGTGCAATGAATAAGCGCAATGGAAACTAATTCCCATTCAATATCTCAAAGCTTTTAAATGGGTAGGAATGTTCTAACTTATCGACAAACTGCCAACTTTATAAATCTCATCATTGAAGGTAAAATATGGCAATAGATAATTTTAGACGTACATGTTCACATCCAACGCAACGACAGCCAGTGTCTGACATGCAAAAAATCTTGGCCATCGATTTTATAGTGTAATTTTGACGGATTTAAGGAAATGTTTGTGTAAAATATGTATTGATTATTTCGTTCGTATTTCTCTGAAATAATTATCAATATTTGTATTGCTTAATCTTGAATTTTGGGGTCTACTTCCATAAAACCGAAGCCTCGTCTTCTCCCTTTATTTTTGCATTATTGCAAAGTTAATTACTCTAATTAAAGGAGGAATAACGGAGACGTAATGGCAACACTTTGAAATAGTTGTCAAAAATATCAAGGCGTTAAAAACGGAAAAAAATAAATTCGAGTTAATTTTTCTCCTAATTGACATTGGGTATTTTGCTCTATTTTAACTTGAATTTAATTTTAGTCAAGTTGGATCGTGTTTCAACGGAACTGCTAATTAAGGGCAATTTTGTCATTTAATTTGAAAAGGAACGAAAGAGATAAACATCAAATGAGAAAAAGGGCACTCTGACTTTCCATTGGAAGAATGGTGGAGGCTTGTTTTTCTCCAGACTAGTGCGCTGTTTTCTGAAGTTAAGATAAGTTTTAGCTATTCATTACCAGAAAGTATTTTACTAGCTTGATTGACAGAGTCATTTTAATGCCTAGGCTTGTCATTGCTCTAATTTGTGCGTTGTTATTCATATAAAATTAGAAAATAAATTAAAATTATTAGAAAATAGTTCGAGAAACTTCCAAAAGACTAAGTATTCATTTTGGTAGGTAAACATTGTTTTCCTGTGAGTATTATGCTCACACCAGTAAGAAATCGCACATTTTACAACAGGAACGTTTGAGCTAAGTTGTTGTCAAGACACAGTGAGGGAAATAATTTTTCAGATTTTTTGTTAGTAGACAAATAGCTCGAAATTATGCATGAGCAATAAATTTGTTTTGTTGATGATAGTAGAAAACACTCCAGTCATTATTACTACCGATTTTCTTTCATCGGAGCCTGAACATGTTCAAGGCCACTGAAACGACTAGAAGCTTTCAATCGGTCCATGGGTTAAAGGAATTAAATCGAGCAATGGAAGTTTTGATATGACGTTTTGATATCCCAAGCTAATGCTGATCCTCGGATAACTATCCTAGGATTACAGCAGAAAATGGCCAAATATGCAAATGCACTTGAAGGGAGCGAGAAAGTTGAACAGGATTTGAAGTTTGTTGCCTCTGCATCAGCCCTTCCAGTATAACAAAGGTTTTGGGTGAAGAACGAAAGTTTCGCAATTGTCAAGACAACAAAGACGCCGATTTTACATCAACGTGTTACTGCGAACGACGTGTGGATAGCTTATGACGATATTAATGGAGAAGAATAATGGTTATCTTCAAAGCAAACACCCATTGCATTTCCGTAGCCAGGGTCGACCCTATGAAACCTCCTCCTTGAATTTGGTGAGATGCAAAACGGAGTACTTTACTATGATTCATTAAAATTGGGCGAGGGAGACTAAATCAGATATTTAATGATAAAGATCCAAGTTTATTTCTGCCATAAAGCAGAAACGTCCTCCCAAAAGCTTACAAATTGAATTGAGAGGTTCTGCTACTTCCTCCATATTCGTTAGAGCCCCTTCAACACCGATATTCTACTGTCGTTTTTTTAAAATGTCCGATTTCTCAATGATACCCATAATGCAGCAAGTTGGTAATTTAAGTTTACTACCCTGCAAAAAGCTAATTCCAAATTTCAGGAAGTGTAACTAAACCCGTTGGTCTATGAGTAAGAGCTTTCAGCTAAATGCTAACAGACAAAACTAGAAGATCGAGATGATTAAGCCGAAGCTAAAGCAGAATTTAGTTAACACCTCAGTTAAGAATCGACGTAGGTAGAGGAGGTGGAGGTGGTGGTGGTGGAGGAGGAGGAGGAGAGAGAGCAATAGAGCACCAACAAAATTCAAGGCGAAAGAAAATGCTAAGGTGCTAAGAGAAAACTAGGCGTGCGTGCCGCTAGTCTTAAAGCAGACGTGATGTTAAATTGTAGAGGCTAAATGGAATTATCGCATAAGAGGCGAGCGCAAAACCACCAATCAATATACTCCAACTGAAACGACTGAAAGCACTTCAAGTCTTCTTTTTTTTATCCGATAAGTTATCTAACTGTAATTCCGCGCACCTTTCAAGCATGGCTCATCTTCACTAAAACAGGGGATGCGCAATTGCACTCCTACAATCAATCACATTCAAATTGATTTCTTTATTGCCGGATCAAGAAAAAGAATCTTGATGTAATAGCCCTTCCCCCCCCCCCCCAGGTGGTTTGGAAAATAAACAAGGGAAAAACAAAATTTGCATAATTGAACAAATACCAAGTGAACAAAGTCAAAGGAGTTTTGATTATGCTCGCTGCGTCTTTGTTTCCGGTTTCACAAAGTTCAATTACCAACTTATTAAATCAATTGTTTGGTCGCCCAAACCCAGCTAACCAGGCCCTAGTCAGGGCAAAGTCGGATGCATTCTTTAGTACTTTAACTCGCTCAAGAAAAGGTGCATGCATTGTCATCTAGAGGTAAAAGGAAATTCGAATGTATCGATGATAGTTAAACGATAATTTTCGTCTTTCGCTCAGTCCAGTTACTCTAATTTTAAATTGCTTTACACCAGTACATCAAGATGCATCATCCGTCAAATTGTGGTTTTCTAGTTCTCACGTTCCAGGTCCTAATCGCCAGTGGTCAAACTATAAGTTGAGTTAGCCTCACGCTCAGCTTTGAATTTTGAGGTGGCTACCCCACAATCCCATTTTAACTGGTCTTTCATTTAATTGGTTATATTTTTTCCATCAGTGTGATCTAATTATGCTATCCCTGATTATTGATTGAGTCGATTGAGTCATTCCTTCTAAATCGCATCTAAGAAGTTCATATCTAAAAAATAGCAAATGAATACATGATTGGATATACCTAAACTGAACCTCTCAAAAAGACGAAAGTACGATAAAATTTTATTAAAGAATTCTTAAATTCTATTGGTATTATTGACCAAATTAGGCAGGTACTCAAATAATTCAATGCTTCTCAAACACAAGCCATCTAATCCGTAAAGGAATCTCCGGGGCTTGAATTCAAGTCTGCTCTAATATATCCACGAGAGTGTACAATCTCCTTCAATGCTAGACAAATTTAGGTACCTTAAGTCGAACACAAAAAGTATTTTGAATTGAGTGGCATAGGAGATTATGGATTAAGATTGGTAAGGCATTTAACATTTTAGCACCTTGCAGGACCGTACGGTCCTCCTTCAAAATAAGCTCCATTGGTACTAGACTCGTAACGGAAGACGCTATTGCCGTTTAAAACTTGCTCAATACGTCTATAGCAAGACTCATCAAATTGGCGCATCAGTGTGACAAGAGTGAGTGTGGTTGATTGCATTTTTCGAAAAATAAGGGCGAAAAGGTCGGCGTACACAATGAAAATGTATTGACATAAGCCCCATATTCTTGTCGTATTTCAATAACCCTAGAGACTTGCCAATTTAGGTTGACACCTTCTATAGAGAGAGAGAGAGAGAAGAACTGAAATCAACAAAATAATACATTGCATTTTATTAGAAAAATACTGCATTAACTAGGAGTCTATAAACATTGGTGGTACATTTACAGGAAAGGCATCCAGCCTTTGTACATTTGACAAAGTCGATCGACTGAAGTGGCCTCCTTCAGTAGAACATCGACCTAGAAGGAGAAGGAGCAAACAGACGGTTAAGATAAGGAAATGAAAAGTTGAAAACAATAAACATTGGAAATGTTACGTGTTAACAAGTCACAAATGTCGCGAAATGTTGAAAAGCAAGAAATCACTAATAATCACCTCCATGTTGCATACCCGAATATAATTTACAATTAAATTATGACCAGGGAGTATGAGTCGACACGTGTTTAATTCAATGCTAGAAGTTTCATGAATGAATCGGATGCCATAGGGACTTGTTTTCAATCCGTTTTAAGCTTTGTTCGATTTTGTTGGAGAGTTTTAGTAATATATAGATTATGTAAAGGTCATCTTATAGCTCTCCCGAAAAGAGGCTAAGATAAGACCACATTATTTGATAATTAAATCATGCTCAGGATAGAACACCCGGTCATAATTCATCACAGATTTACCTAAGTTAGTTACACATCAATCATAACCCAATTCAACTAGTCGTGCAAAACCATTAATATTAAATTGTTTACTTCTTAAATGGGTGGTTTTTTTCAATAGAATAAAAAATGCATTCATTCGATTTGGATGAAAGTAGAGACGAATTTCTCCAAATCTCTAAACAAAATATAGTTACCAAAGTCGAAAAAAGCCCATTGCATAAAATGGCCACATTCCGGTACCAAAGATTTCCCAATTAGTCCAACAATGAAAAACAATTACTTCAAGGGGCCAAAGAGGAGATGATACCAATTTTCAGGTAAGAAACTTTTTGAGTGAAATCACAAAAAACCATTGAATCTTATTGGAACTAAGCAGTTACAGCGTAATTTAATTATTCTTGTAACACTTTTATTTTGCATTTTGTCAAATCGCATGTTTCTGTAGTGACGAGGGGGGGGGGGGGGGGGGGGGGGGTGCGGGGCGAATTGGCCCACTACGTTTTACTCCTGCGTCAAGATACAAGTAAAGTCAAATTGATGCTTAATACGATCAGTCCCAGTATTTAAAAAAAACAATACCAGTCGCTGAGTTGGCAAAAACTTCCGAAGTTAAATTTTCACTACAGTTTAGAAAAGTTAGTGTGCACCCTTAAATTGATTCTTACAGACAGGACGGTTATAAAATTCCTATTCTGACTTGGGCGCAGATTCCAATTAGAATCTAGGTGATCGTTCGATAGTTTAAAGATTGAAAAGAAAATTTAGTGTCGGAGAGGCTAATAATAAACTTTGGGTACACTTGAGCGAGATTTCTAAGCATCATTACTTTTACTTCAATGGATTATTGGTCAATGAATTGTTATGCTCTTGCCTATATATAAGTGAGAAGATGGCTGATGAAAGCGTTGATTAGACAGGCAGTCAAATTGATTTGCACCAATAGTAAAATCGCCTCGTGAGCGAGAGGTTTTCCTACTTATTCCTTCTGGACCTGAACAATAGTTGCTCCAGTGCCCAAGTTCTCAATTTCGGATGCATGATAAACTCCCTCTGAGGCAAGGCGATTCGAGTACGTTTCTCTATTTAGCCCTCTGTGTAATTGACAAAGCACAGGATGTGATGTAGTAAAGACGTGTACTACGGTGGGCCTTTTGGAGTTTGCATGTAGTCCTCAATACACTACAGTGGTCAACACCATTTGACCTCGACGAAAACCTAAATCGCTTGTGGGCGAGTACCGTCTTAACAATGATACTGTAGCATTGCAGGTATAAAAGCCGAAAAACTTATTTAACTTAGACAATTGAATAGTGGGGTTTGTTTAGCATACAATCAAAACACGATAGAATATAGGCGAACAAAAATGTAAGGCCAAAGTCAATCAACTGTCTAAAGAGACATTTCGCTAATTTACACACACTAAGACGCAGTTTATATTATTGCGAAAATCCCGGATTCATATGGATAAATAGCGTCCCAGATCCCGACACCTAGTTTGTGGACAAGCCGACCAACTACTTTCTGCATCTATAACAGCTGTTCGGTAAATTATAAGTACGAAAAAGGTAAAATAAAGTCCTCAACAGTTGCTGAAACTATAATAGGTACCTACCTGGCCTTCAACAGACATTGGCAGAAGTTTACTGAACTCGTCGTGTTCTGTGATTTTACCACGAAGTCGATCTTCCATTCCAGAGAGCTTCTCGATAGCCGCTCTCGTTAATTTGCTCTCCGTGGGTGCAGATTCAATTTGTCCTGTCTTACGGCCCTTTCGAACTAGAAGCGATATAGAAATAAGGCATTTTAGACAATCAAGATTAAAGCTCAAGGTGCGTATCGATTACTCAGTTTTTTGGATGGGAAATTTGAAACATCTTCACACTGGTACACTCCTGTGAGAATTCGATATTGAGCGTCATTCTCTGCGTCTACACAGTCTCTAATTCTTATCAAAGTGATTTACCATTCTGCGTATGTATTCTAACAACCTTCACTAATGTAAAGTCGACACGGCATTAAGTAGCGATTTTAATGAAAAGGAACTTAAAGTGAACATACCATCAGGATTAGCGCTGGCGTCAGAACTCTTCTCCACAAGTGAATCGAAGTAGAGAGGTCTAAAGACAGCAATTAATGGGTCAATTTCTCTGCGTAGGAGACGCATTGTGACCTCAGCGCAACGCCGGAATGTACCCTCGTATCCAGTGGGACCCATTGCATGAACGAGACTTCGAGTCAAACGAAAGGGTACAAGTTCAGGCCAGGGCAAGGTGAGGCCGGTGTTGAAAACGCAGCTAAAGTCCACATGAACCAAGCCACCTGTGGTGCAGTCGAAGAGGATATTTTCGGTATGACGATCGCCCAAACCGAGAACGTAGCCAACCATGCTCATCACAGCACAAGTCTTGACGAAAGTTTCGCGGGCTTCAAACCTGAACACAGAGGGGTAGAAATTAACAAACACACGCTTCTCCACGTTCAACAATTTTATGGGTGGGGGGGGGAACAGAAGAGTATTTCAAAGATGTAAAAGAGACAGACAAAAAGGTAGAAAAAAGGTGATGTGAGTACTGGGGAAATAGTCAAATATGGCATAGAGTGAGGTGATGGTAGTTTGAAGTCAGAAGTCAACTGTCGGTCAATAGACTTTTTTGCCATATGAGTATACGTTGCCCAGGGTGCATCACGTGAAGTTAAGTCTATCGCACATCTCTTGTATTTTAAATATTGAATTCATCATAAACAGTACCGCTAAGTCAAGATTTCCAGGAATCGCATGCGCAACACAACAACCCCATTGGGTTTAATTAATGGCAGCACTGGAATTAATCAAATTCTCTATTTTGCTTGACTTCGAAATGGATTCTTTCTCTGTGTAATAGAAACATCATATTTGGCCTCCGTCTTCTACTTAAACAAATGCTGACTTGCCAAATGACCTCGAACGGTAATCTTAAGTTTATAATTACAGACCGAAACATTAAGAAAGAAATCACAAGTAAGCATTACATCTAGTCAAAAATACCTGTGAAACTGGGATAAAATCCATCACTAAAATGTAATATCTTTTCTCTGGTTCATCTTTCACATACCCTATCTTCTGGATCTTCAACGGCAACAGCATTTCAATTAATTCCGACCGCCATAAGCCATTTTCATTATTTGCTAAAATACTGCTCTTTTTGAGTTTAAGTAAAAGTGATATTTGCTTGAAATTGCTATTATTAACAGTGGACAATAGAGCAATTGTCAGAATTCTTTGTTTTGTTTTGCTTCCTTATTCCCCTAAAGAGAATTGTCACAAGGATTTGTCGAGATCAAAATGCGCATATATTGAAAAAATTAAAACTAGGAGAAGGTAAGGGGAAATTTTTTAAAAAAAAACAAAGATTGTAAAAATATAAGAGATCTATTTTCTCTGAACAGATATTTCAAATTTTTAACGGATGATTAAATCAAATATGGAATACCGGCATTCATAAATCAGTGTTGCCCATATACTTCATTTTTCACGTTAACTAATTAACGAAAAAGTTGGCAAAGCCACGCCACAAGACAAAGTTTGCCACATTTTGAAATTCAACTAAAGTTAAATCCGCCAGTGAATTGCAAATTTCATATAATTTTGAAAAATTGCAAAAAGGAGAGAATGTTTTCCCCTTAACCGTAGTTAAAGTTGTTCTAATATGTTATCACACAAGGCCGTTAGCATTTTTGGAAGCAATCCAAAGGGAGATTTCAAGTTCTCTCTAGCGATTAGTGAGTTTAAAATCGCTACTCGAAACTCTCTCGATCACTCTCCCCCCCTCCCCATTTATAGTCAACAATGATCTCTTTCACTGCACTTTTAGTATCCTACAGCACTCAATGGCCCACAAAACTGTGTTAAAAATACCTTAAATTTTGCACCTAAACTGCTCCCTTTTTACTCCCTGGTTAAATTTTCTTGACAATTTAGAATAATTTTATTTATTTATTTATATCAAATGGCAGGCGTTTTGATAGTTATCATCAGCCCTGTAGTTGACTTCAGGCTTCACAGAGGGGAAGGACCATCGAAGTGAAAAAAGTCGCGATTTCGGGGGACAGAAGAGTGTTTCAACGTTTTAAAAGTGGCAGACACAAAGGTAGAAAAAAGGTGAGGTGAGTACTGTGGAAGTGGTCGAATATGACATGGAGTCAGGTCATGGTAGTTTGAAGTCAGAAGTCAACTGCCGACTAATAGACCTTTTTGCCGTATGAGTATGCGTTGCCCAGGGTGTACCACGTGGAGGTAGGTCTTTCGCACACCCTATTCAGGCAAACTAATGAGTGATGCTTTATATGCGTAAAGGAAAAAATCACTGAAGCACAAAAGAGTTTTAAAGAACCGAAAC